CCAAGAAGAACCCCACAAGAAAACAGCAAATATTCGATCGAGCTTCTGTAGATTCACACGTGAACAATGCAATAAAAGAAGGACATACCAGAGCTTACTGACTAAAAAAACGTTACAAAATTTCGCTCTGGCGAACATTGATAGCTTGAAACCATTGAGTTGTTCAGCTTTTTCTTGTAGCTCCACGGCCTGACGCCACCAGTACGGTTCACTGTCACAATAATATTCTAATGGCACACCTAGGTATCGTACTGGAGTAGTAGTCCATGAAATACCAGCCACAAATTGTGGAGTCACAGGCCATTCGCCGTGCCAGTAACCTAGGCAGTTGCTCCAGTTTACCAAACTACCACTTGCATTACAATAAAGGTTCACAATTTTTATGGTTTCAGTGATACTATCATAATTTCTAAAAAACACAGCTATATGTACTGAAGTACGTGTACTGGCATCTGCGTATGCCAGTACACGTACTTCAGCTTCTTGTAGTTTGTACCCCACTATGTTACTGCTTTTCATGACTTTTTGGCAAAATGACTTTATATAAATTGAATATAGGAGGGAAGACAAAGGGCAGCCTTGTCGTACAGAACGTCTGATATTAATTAGTTTCCCAAGAACTTTGTTGATGATTAGCCGAGTTTTACGTCCGGTATATGCCAATCGAACTGTATCTCGAATTATTTTGCCAACACTGACATAGTCTAACAAAAGAAAAAGAATTTCGTGCGGTTTTTCTAAATCTTTCTGGATCATCGCGATGTGATCATTTGTGGCATCGCCGTTCTCCAATACACTTCGTGCCTTGTGAATGTTTGTGAATATAGTGCGCTTTTAATCCCATATGTCTGGTGGTCGCCTACAATATTATTAATAACTGTCTGCAGTCTACTTGCTAATACTTTCATCAAAATCTTGTAGTTGATATTTGAATGACTGATTGGCCTGTACAATTTCACTTCACGTAATTTAACTGCATCCTCAGTTTTTGGAATTAATATAGTATGAGATAGCAGAAAAGAAGGTGGCAGAATCTTTATGTCTAAGGCTTCGTGAAAAACCGCTGCCAGGATCGGTGCTTGTTCGTGTTTGAATTCCTTATAAAATGCGGATGGTAACCGAACAGGTCCTGAGGACTTTCCCGAATGGAGGGCAATGATTGCTTTTGTCACTTCTGGTTCAGAAATAGGACATTATAAGCTGTCTTTCCTGCAGTCCTCAACCTTTGACATTAATTTTATAAAAATATTCTTGAATTCATCTACATTTACTTTACATTTATCAAATAAAGTGGTGTAGTGCTCGTTGAAAGCATTATTTATATATCTCTGTTCACTTGTAACGTTACTCATGTATTCAATATGATGTATAACAATCCGCTGAGCGTTTCGTTTTTCGAGACCAAGCATTCTTTTGGTCGGTTTCTCTCCTACGGTCATTTTCTCTGCCCTTGCCCTTATTTGCGAGCCACGATACTTCTCCTCCTCAGTTTGTCCCGATCTGGACTTTATTGACCTTATATCATTTGTGAATAAGCCAGGCGTTTTTAATTCCTCTGCTAGCAGTTCTTTCAGATTTAAGCGTAGGGTTCATTCTTCTGCACTCTTTCCGTGTTTTATTACACATGAGCGTTCTATAGCCTTCAAATTTATATTCTGTTTATATTGCTCCCACTTCACTCCATATTTTTGTTCTCCACTGTCTATGTTTACCAACGCCTCTCGAACTGTGTCCATGAATATTTCATCTTCCAAGATATTAGAATTTAGCTTCCACGTGTCCCTGTTAAATACTGGTCTACGTCTATTACTTTTACCAATTAGAAATGATACTAAGCAATCATCACTAAATGAAATAGGGAGGACATTGTACTTACTGATAATCGGAACTAAATCCAGTGACACGTAGGCCCTATCTAGGTGCGCATGACTGGAGTCTTGGAAATGCGTATACAGTGTTGTCCCTTTACCAATACAATGTGTAGCATCCTCAAGGTCTAAGTCAGAAATTAGATTCGTTAACGCGACTGTGCTTGAGTCGTTGAAATTGGATGTACTTGTTTTATGATTGACACTGAACACACAATTAAAATCTCGCATAAGGATGACTATGTGATCGCATTCACAATAAGTACGAATTTTGTCGAATGTTACACACCATCCATCAACATTAAGAGGTGCATATAAGCAAATAATTCGCAAATTAGGAGAAAAGAAGGCCAAATCACATACAACAAACCTTCCGGATGAATCAGACGTGACATTTTGAACACTGGCACCTAAACTATTCCGCACAAAGATGACACACCCTGCCGACCTACCAACTGCATGACTGACGCTGGCGGTGTAGCGTCCGGTGAAACGTTGCAGTAGGCTCTCGGTGGCGCCCACGCTCTCCACTTTGGTTTCCTAAACTGCAATAATGTCCAGGTCTTGGTCCATGGCTAGTCTGTAGAGCTGAGTCTGTTTCTTTCTGGAAGCCAGTCCTCGTACATTGAGCGTCGCTGCTTTCACGAACCCGGTCAGCGACGTGATTGGTGAGCGGGTCCAAGTTGAGAGCCCTGCACGTTCACTTATTGGGCTCTCGTCGTCGAGGGTAGATCCATTATGCTCACCTTTTGTTTGAGCGGCCATCGTCGCGTTTGAGCGACGATGATCTTTGTCAGGCAGCGTTTCGTTTCTTGCCTCCACTGACCACCTTCCACTGCACTTCCGACTTCACTTGCGTTTCGTCTACTTGGATGGCGGCGTTTTGCAGACGCCAGTTCTAATTCCATCCTTGGGGTATCTAGGTCCCCAAGCGAATCCTAGTTTTCGTGTGTTTCGTTCGCCAAAGAGTGCTGTGAAGCCGAGTTTAGAGGAGTCGAAGTGGCGTTGGCCAGGGACGCCGGCGTTTCAGGGCGCGTTGCTTGCAGCTGCGACGCGGTGTGCATCGCAGGCGCAGGACGCGTCTGTTCGCTAGTTGTTGGGGCCACTGGACTTCCCATCTTCCGCCCAGCGTTCATGTCCAGGGCTGAAGAATCTTGCTTGGTTTTGTTCAGCACCAGCGTGTCGTTCGATGTCGTCTGCTTCTGTGGTGTCGCAGGCAAAGACGCTTGTTCAGATCCCTCCTCATACCACGCGGCCTTTTTCAGCGCGAGAGATCGTCTTTTGACCTTCCACGATATAAGAAATCACTACCGCCTACAGCGCACTATATACCCCCCCCCCCCCCCTACATCATGAAGCTTCGCGGTACCATGAAATACTATGGCCTCAGTTACAGACCCGTACATTTTCCACCCCATCTTTTCGCCATCTTATACACCCTGCGTTATACCCCTCCCCTTTGTGCATTTATTGTCAACAAAGAGCTAACCTGGACCATATCATGTGGGGGTGTACTCGAAGCCCACCACCTAATTCTCTACACATTAATAGTAAGGAGCAGTGGGAGGCTGCTATGTGCAGCTCGGCGCCAAAGTCCAGGAACAGATCTTAGATTGGGCCAAGAGGGTAGCGGAGACCTACGCTGGGTAGGCTCCTCTGACACTCCACCACCGCCCCTTTCCCTATTGGGATAAATAGTTTTTCTTCTCCTCCTCCTCTTCCTCTTCATCCATGAGAAGTTCACTCTGTTGAGTCTCTCGTTGCCGCCCTGCAGCTCGTGCGTATGAACGGTTGCACTCGTCCTGCTCATGACCGAAAGAGTGGCATTCGCTGCACCTTGGGACCTTCCAATCGCGTCGCATATGCCCCGTGCTTCGGCACCGCAAGCGCAAAGGCGGTCTTCCCGGCACCACGACCAGTGCCGTTCTGCTGCCAATACGCAGCTGATGGGGCAGTTGATCCACAGAAACGCCGTTTCGTAGTTGCATGTGTATTACATCAGTTGTCGATTCAACTCCTTCAAAATCCTTGACTCTCCATCGGTCATCGGTCACTTCCTTGACGTCACCGTATTCAATCAAGGCACGTCCAATAGCGTCTTTTGTAACATTGAACGCTAGCCAGTGCAATTTCACCTTAACCTCTTGCCGCGTCGGGTCAATGACCAGACATACCCGATCTTTAACTTAGAGAACGCCTGCGTCTGTCAGTGCTTTCTTTGCTTGCTCGATCTTCATGTTCTATAACCACACGTGCGACATGTGATATGCTACGATGCCACTTACTTGCTGTATGACGCCTAAATCTTTGAGATGTTTACTGAAATCGTCGATGCAATACGGTCGACCACTGACGTCGCAGTGTAGAGCTACTGCTTGACGCATCCCTTCACCTGATGGCAACGATGGCAGAAAAATCCTGTAGTCCTTTGGAACGAGGGGAGAAGGTATACCGCGGTCGGCGTCGGCCGCTTTCGCTGCTCGGGACGAGCTTTCCATCCTGCGTCTGCATCAACCGGTGTCCAGAAGCAGAATCATCCACGAGAAGACCCTAAAGTCAACATTATACGTTCTTATCTCGGCAATCAGGTTTTTGATGAGTTATTGCACTACTTTTTACACTTTCAACAAGATGCCCCTGAATTGACTCTTCCTAGGAAACGTTGCATGTTTTGTTCACACACGCACAGCTACTTTTGGCTCGGGTTGGTATCTTGGCTCGTTTTTCTTATTTCACGGATAATTCTCGTTCTTTTGACCGGGCAACCCTGACAGCCAAGGCTGCATGAATAATTATATAATCGGGGGATAAAGAGTCAAGTTCCGATGGACGCCTCCAGGAGTAGGATAGCATTTTTGCGCACCCGAATATTGAGTAGATTCGCTGGAGCTCTGTTTTTCACGTACGATGCTGCCTCCACCGAAATATTTAACTCACAAAAGCTTCCCTTAAAAGCGAGTGAACAGAATCTTCAGTGATTTGAGCTTTGCCTGTATATGCAGCCAATACTTGTCGGCGCAGGAGATCGAACTGGCAGTGAGTGAGTGAGTGCTGTCAGCTGGTGAGAAAGATTATTCAAATTAGTAAGAGGCTACGCAAAAGAAAAAAAAGAGGATTGAAAAAAAAAGCAACTGGAGGTGCCGGGGTTCGAACCCGGGACCACTCACATGCGAAGCGAGCGCTCCACCACTGAGCTACACCCCCCCTTTTTTTTTCTTTATTTAACTGAGCTACACCCCCACAACGAGAAGAACAGTCACAGCGTGTCGTGTCATAATAGTTGGCCTTTTGTTTTTTTTTATCCAGTGAAGTGTGAGATCAGGTTTAAGCACTGATGCACGCAAAGAATACGCGGCAGCGTACCATTACAGATATCAAATGCAAAGATATCCCCTCGGTCAATGTCCGATATTGCTTCAAACTAGCAAGCACACGTTTCCTTTTTCTCTCATAGGGGCTCTACTTACAAAAAGAATTCTGGACAGCTTTGAGCTTAGGAACACGTGGGCACGTTATAGTATGAAAGCGTGGGCATCTTATACGGTATTCCATGCAAACGTATACGCCTCGCTAGTTGGCAGCCAACGTTGAAAGATAGCGCCACTCATTTATTTTGGTGCATCCGGGTTTAGACTGTTTGCGACGCTCGGGGTTGACCACACGGCATTGTTTCAGAAGCCTCGTGATTGTTTAACTTCATTCCGTTAAGAATGCGCGCAGCACGCGAACAGTCTTTATGTGGCCGCAAGTGATAAAGGCGATTTCTTCGATAGCACATGTATGAAAACCGGCGGCCTTAAGTGCTTGTCAGTTTTATCGGCGGTCTATATGCTCTGCTTGCCGCTATAACCGCCCTATTCTAGAACGCCCCTTCACTAAACGCTCCACCTTCACTCGATAAAGCCGATGGGATCGCCATCTCTAAACAGGGCAAGTCACTGCATTTGAGTGACAATTTGCTGCTATTCTCGAGTCGCGCAGCGTCATTTTCAGCCGAGCGGCAGCGCAGTGCTCAACGCTGTCAATTGCAGGGTTAAAGTCGAGTCGAGGAGCATTTGTGATAATGGGGGCAAGTGTTACGGGTGTATCACCGTAGTTTGAGATTTGTTTCACGGGCACAGGTTCGCCCAAGTAATGTTTCAGTTCAAGAACGCCAATTTAATTCTTCATCAATGTCACACCCATGTGGCAATATGACTGGTAATAATCATTCTCCACCATGTCTTATTTAGTGATGGCGATTATTCACACCAGCTGTTCTCGTGATAAACTGTTAGGCCTAGGGTACCAACGAACAATCTTTTGTCATTGCATGTACGGACAGGTTGATGCTAATGCGTGGCGATGGCTATACTCCTCTTTTTTTTCAGTATAGTTGTCACAGAGTACAGTGAACACTGCTAACTGCTGCCGCCACAGGTTTCACCACTACAAAGGTTTCATTTGCTTGTGAAACGACAGTCAGCTCGGACCAATTGTACGACCAGAAGGCGCCGGCTCCTCCGGGCGTAGTCTGCTCGCCTCGGTCGATCAGTGGCTACAGGGTGCTAGACTGCTGGCCCGCAGGTCACGGGTTCAATCACGGCCGCGAGGGTTGCATTATGGTGGAAGCGAAATTACAAAGACCCGTGTGCTGTAGGATGTGAGTGCACGTCAAGAACACCACTTGGTCAAATTTTCGGGAGCTCTCCACTACAGCATCTCTCATAATCATATCTTGGTTTTGGGATGTAACACGCCCACATAACAATATTGACACGCTGTGTTGGTGGCAGAAGACGAGAGCGAAGAAGTGAATGGCAGCTGTGGCTGAGTAAACAGTCCTCTGTGCACTTCGAGTTCCTGTCTATCGGTTCCTATCGCGACAATATTATTATTCTGCGGCCATAGTTAGCCCCATATATTCACACAATAGTGAGGAAAGCGCTGCGACAAATCTTTGCCCCCCCCCCCCCCTGAAGGGGAACTCCACGCGTCACTTATGGGAGCCATTCTAGCTGCTCAAACGCAAAAAGAACTTCTGTTATTCTAGTAAACTCAATCAATAACTTTTTAATAAACATTAGAGCAGTTAATTTACCTTTTGCCGACATGTGTCGTGTGTGTTTATTTTATTTCTGAACTTGAACTGAAATCATAAATTTTCATCCGGTTTTAACTTTCAAAACAGATCTTGAGCAAGTACAGAAAATCGGAAGTTGTTATTTGATCAGAAGTACTTGGGAGAAAGCAAGAAAATCGCCCGTTTAACGTGCCGGTGATAAGCGAAAGTATTGCGGCCATTGGAACACTGGCTTATTAATCGTCACCGAGTAAAGTATCTGATATTAGCTGAAATTCGACGTCCTACAACCACGAATTGACAGTGAGAGACGCCGTGTTGGAGGGCTCCGGAAATTTCACCACATCGTGTTCTTTGACGAGCGCTGTCATCGCACTGCACACGCCAAGAAAAATATCGAGCCTTTCGGAAATACAACAGTGGCTATGTGACTAACCTGAGTTTCGGTTCTAGCTAATAGCCGCCAAGAAAGGATGCGATGTCGGATGCTCGCGGGTCAAGTGCACAGACTGCAACGCTTATTACACTTCTACACGCGCACATCTTTTATGTGGGGGTACGCTTTACTACTTTCTTCATTTGAAGCGAAAGTCATGTGCTCGACACCGCCATGGCCGTCACATTTCGGTAAAGGCGAAACGCCACAGGCCCGCGTACACTGTGCTACGTGCGTGCACGTTAATGAACACTAGACGGTTAAAATTTTCGATGCCCTTTTTACGGCGTGCTTCACAATCCTAGGAGGCACTATGGTCGCCAGTGGGAGCTAACGCATGTCACATCGGCTCCGTCTATTTGTGAATGTTTCCGGAGGTTTTTCGAATTCTACCCTTGAAAGTGGCACACCATCGGACAGATCAAGTCATCGCGATCCTATGGATACCAGCTTTTTGGGTGAGCGTGAGCTTTACGAGCTTTAGGTCTTGTAAACTGCAAGAACTATACGAGTGAGCGTCTAGGCCTAACGGTGGTTGGGCCTGGCTCATACCGCGTCTAACTCGAAGACTGAAAGAACAGCCGAGATGGATGTAGACGAGGCAGGGACAGGGCAAGCCACGGACCACAGAACTGAACAAAAAAGAAGCGTTTCCACGAGCGAAGACGAAGACGCTGACAGCGTTGCAGATGGCTGGATTGAAGTTACACGAAAAAAAAGAGGACGCTCGCGCCAAAACAAAGTGGTGAGACAAGAAGACGCCCCTTCACCAATTCTGATGCGCCAAGGCCGCCGAAGCATTGTGAGCAAGGTTCTACGAGCAAGCAAGATGCCCAGACTGCCCAGGGACGATATCAAGGTAATTGTTCGACTGAGGGATGGGCTGAATGTAAGGAGCACGTGCGGTTCGAGTCTTGATGAGGAGGTACGCAACGGAGCAGGAGTGGTGACGACGAGATGATCAGGATCTGCCCCAACCCCACGCAAAACATTTTGGTGATAAGCACACCGGAGGAAAGCAGAGCGACGAAAATCGCCAAGATGAAGGTTTTGACTATCAATAGAAAGAGGCACGAAACGAACGCATATGTTTCAGCACCTGAAAATATGACAAAAGGAATTATACAGAATGTACCTCTTAAATATAATCAAGATCAGCTCGTGGAAGCACTGGTGAATACAAGAAACCCCTCACTAACGTATGCGAAGAGGCTCGGTAGTACAAAAAATGTTATACTGCTCTATGAAGGAAACCGAGTTCCTTCATGGGTTTACTTCAACAGCGTTATGATAAGAGTATCTCTGTACCGGAAACAGATAGACTTCCGCAAGAACTGTGGCAGGCTAGGCTACAGACCTGACGTTTGCCCAAGACGAGATATCAAACTGTGCCGAATTTGTGGATTAAAGAACCTCATCAACGGACGCGAGTGTACGCCCCAGTGCAGAATATGTGGTGAGGCGCACCCCACGGCTGAACGGATGTGCAATGCCAAATACAAGGTGCCGCACATGGTGAAGCAGAGAAGGTGGGAGGCCAGGTTCAGAGACTTTCAAGAGCGAACCCCGTCACCATCGGATAGCAATGCTGGTGCTGTGGAAGGAGGCCGCCCTAGTCGCTCGAGATCCAGAACCCGCTCCCAACTGGTCATGGGTCGTTCAACCAGATCCGGATCCCCCTCGCCGGTAAAAAGACGGAGCAAAAGTGGTAATACGAGCAGAAGTCAGAATCGGAGCAGAAGCCGCAGCGGGAACCGACACCACCCCCAACAAGACATAGGAGGGGCCACACCTGGCGGGAAACAGAAAGGGCCGCGCAAAATCAACTGGCGTGACATAGTGACGGGAACAAAACCGGACTCCGCACAGGGGCACCCTCTCTACGGCCGCCCGCTGGCAGCCGCCGACCCCTGCCTGGCAGCGAGGATGGAGAACATGGAGAAAGAGAATAGGGAGCTTAGACAAGAGTTGGCCAAGGCCAGAAAACAGAATGAAAAATCAACGCGGAAAATTGAGGAGCTACAACAGACACTCAACGAAATCCTCAAGTGAATGGGAGGACACCCCGCAGAGACCCCATCCTCTGGCGCCTCCTCGTCCCATGGAGCTGCCGATGAACGCGACACAACTTCAGCAGTAGGAGACGGGGACACGGACATGGGCTGTGGAGGTGAATATGAAGCGCCGGTGGCGGTGGGCTTTAAGCGTAAGAGCCCAAGTGATTCTCAACATTTTGAAGGCGCTGAAAATCACACAGAAGAACTGAAGCGGGCACGACCGGCAGGCCGAAAGATAGACGCGATCGAAGAAATGGTAGACAAACTAACCAACAAGACAGAGCGACTGTTTGAGACGCTCCTCATTCTGCTGAACGAGTCTGAAGCCGAAAGGAACGCACAGTAGGCCACGCCAATAGCCAACTTGCGGTCGTGAATAAGCGCATCGAATATCTGGAACGCGGGACGGCGCAGGTTCAGCAACAGGGACAAGGCCACGACGAATAGGGAGGGGACGCATCGACCATTCTTAACAGAAGTGGCAATGTCAACACCACCCACACTGAAAAAGGAGGGACGCACGGATAGTCGCGTTCCCCCAACGCCTTTGAATAGCAACTATGGCTGCATCCCGCAAGTTTGTCGGCAGACGCACCGTCGGGCAATGGAACTGTAGGGGCTTCAAAAACAAAAAAGCTACAATGGTGCA